TATATATATAGGCCTATATATATTGCAGTGAGCATTGTTAACACAATACATTATAGGTTAAGTTGATAGAAAATATATGTTTACTACTAGCGGCATTGGCATACCGTATATCCTCGAATTCAAGCCATGTGCTTCTTTTTATTGTGAACTTTGGATGGGCTTATTTTCAAGATGGGCCTCTTTTCGAGGCTCCTTTTGCAAAGTAAAGAGGGGGTCTTCTTTTCAAAATGAATGCTGTAAATTTTGTGAATTTATTCCATAAAACAATAAATAAGGCCACTGTAACATCAATGTATCATGGATGGATTTAACTGGCATTAAATCACCTAAACTACTGTACAAACCAAGCTTGTATTTAATTTATTTTGTTTTTTGAAATTCATATACAGTGTATGTACTGTACTATATCGTAAAGAAGCCTATGCTATCTTGAAAAGAAGCCCATGGGCTTCATTTCGAGATGGGCTTATTTTTTAGTCTAATTTTGCAATCTAAAGAAGGGGGCTTCACTTCGATATGGGCTCCATCTCGAGATTAGGCCCATTGGGCTTTAATTTGAGGTTTTACGGTATGGGATGCCCTGTTTACAATCACAAGCGTTTATTTCAATTTTAAAATTTAATGAAAACTCGTATTTGATATTCATTAGTCTATACCATCAAGAATGACAATAATGGTTATAATTGTTCTCAGAGACACGTTCGCACGACTCGATGTATTTTATGATGATATGAGAACTGAACTTCAGTCCGATAGATGCAAATATACTATTTCATCGTTACTAGGTATGTCTTTCTATTTTTGTTCTTATTACTGATTAAAATGTCTGAGAAAAGTACGTTGTCTCAAAACAGGATCCAAATCTATCATAGTACCGGTAATTAAAACACACTACCACAACGATAACTGCAGCTACAATATTAACTAGAATTTTTTCATTATACGTTTTAATTTCTGAGAATAATTTAAATTTACCAATAAATCAAAGGTGGCATTCAATATGAAATATGTTGTCTACAATCTTTGCCTAATTTTAAACATCATAATAATTTTGGACATGCATGTTAATTTAATGTGAATGTGTTTTCTTTAGACAAGATTTTAATGTTTTACAATGAATGATTATCATTTGTCGATAAGCATATCTGTCTCGGCAAACTCAAGTAAGGAAGTATTAGCACACTAGGAATAACGTCACAAACGCAATTATAAATCAAGGGTATGGGATAGATAATTGAGAAATCAGAAACTGATTCCTTCTGCAGTGTTATTTTTGTCTCCTCGGCATTCTCTTTACTAGCGCTAGGATATTTCTCGGTTTTTTATTTTTGTTCTTTCAAGATATCGCTATTTCAAGCGCATAGAAGCTGTCCAGTAAAATGCGCTATTACTAACATAGCGCGACGAAAAATCATAACCATTTACACCTTCTAAAACCCGAAACACTTTGTGGAAAAAATGCATACTATTGTACCACAACATTTAGCAATGGAAATATAAATCAAGTGTATGGAGTAGATAATTATTTATATTATTTTTTCCTTTATATTTCTGAATATTTATATATTTTTTTTAATTGATTTTTTTTTATTATTGAGCTTATTTTTACTGCCATTGTCTTTTTTTTTAATTGTTTATATTATATTTACCTACCATTTATTATTACACACTGCCATTTGAAGTTACAGTAATATTTTTTTCTCTTTTATATTGTTACCGTTTTTTTTCATTTATTGTGTTTTTGTTATTATTATTATTACTTTTATTATTTATTATTATTATTATTATCATTATTATTATTATTATTATTATTGTAAAGCAACAATTACATTTGTATCATTTCATTATACATTATGCTTATGGCTGGAGGGTCAATCAGAAAACTAATTTCGGTTTATTTGATCCTCCTTCCTTTTGTTACATTCTCCCATGTTTTGCTTATAACTTTTTTCGTGAAGTTTTTTCCCCTAATTATTGTTTACCTTGACGTGAATTTTCCGTTAATTGTTTCATGTTCAAAAGGAAAAATAAACTTTGATTTGATTTTGAAATAACAGCAAATGAAATCTTTCCTCCCGAAGCCTATAACAACGGGGCCATGTGGGGTATTTTTCAGCTATATTTTAGCTGTTTGTATCCCTTTCAGCAACGCTGATGATTAGATATGTATGATTGCACACAATTGGAACTAGCCTAAAGAAATGATGATATTGATAACATTTTTTTTTTCTTTTTCTGTAGGAAACCTTGGTGGAACACTCGGATTATTCTTTGGAGCGAGTGTGCTTGCGTTTATAGAGGCGATGGAGTTTTGGTTTCTGAACGATTCTTGTCGTGGAAAGCAGAGACGTAACGTCCACTCGGTTTAAACTCAATACATCTCTCACAGACGTGAACTTCGTACACGTAGTAGCACTGAACTGGACCCTGCTGCTCATGAAAATGAACACTCGCCAAAAATAAACTGTCTAATAAACTGACACATTAATGTTAAAGAGACATTACTGTACAAAGTAAGAATGACAAAACAAAATATAATAAGGGAATTAAATGGATGGTTAAAACTTTACCTGTTACGTTGGTGCCATCTGCTCTCAGGCGTTCGACCTCCATGGATCGCCATCCCTCTCTATCTTCCGCCCTTCTCACACTTTCTCCATACTTCATCCGTGACCACTCATTGATGTTGCTAAACCAGTTTGTTCTTGGCCTTCCCCTCCCTTTTTTAGGTTCTAATTTTCCTATCAAAAGCTCTCTCTGAGTCTATTTTGCTTATGATGTGACCGAAGTATTTATCCACATTTACAATGTGAAGACTCAACCGATGAGACTAACTGCAGAATTAGCTATAAGGACCACAGTGGAAATAAGGTAACCGGTTCGGTACTGTATTTTTATTTTTTTCTTGAATATTATATTTGTATTCAGAATATGGAAATAGAAAATATAAAAAATAGGATATGCATTGACAAGATCCGACCAGCCTTTCAACAACTCATAGCCATCGGTAAAATAGTTCAAGAAAAGCAACAACACATGATGTGAGAGAATCCAGAAGAGGGCAAGTCTGGGCCAAAGAGTTTAAGAACTCGACGCTGGACAATATGAAAGACTCAAAAGAGTTCTACAGGTTGCCTACAGGTGCACGATCGTTGGCATCAGTATTTTATGACTGGTCGCAGGAGGATGGAAGAAGGTGTGAGGTACTCGGTGTAATTAGGATGAAAATCGAAGCTCCAAAGTACAGTATTTAAAAAACAAAGCTTACGCCAAAAATAGGTGGAGCTGTTGATTTTACTCGCTGAGTTTATTATGGATGTACCGTACTCGCGCGAATAAGCGCCCCGTTTAAATAAGCGCTCCTCTTGAATATAAGAGCCCCTCCTAACGTGAAAATTGTCTTAAGCGCCCCGTTTGAATAAGCGCCTCTCCATTCCTAAAAAAACCATTCAAACATACAGTACAGTACATCACAAACTTAATTTTCTGCATCAACTATTCGCGAGTATCTTAGCATTGTAGGTCGGTAGGTCCATCCATCTGTCGGTCTATCAGTCTCCATTAAGTTTAACATGGTTTTCAGTTTTGATGCATCTTTAGAATCCCGTTCTTGTTTTATTGCTACCCTTTTTGGTTTTAGAACTACAGTATTTAATATCTAAAAACTGAAATATAGTATGGCATTTTCAGTCAATAAAAATAACACGCTTTCCAACACTACCAACACCACCACTGATTTAATCGGCTGTTGTGTAAATACCCCAACATTCTTGTCATGAGCCATGCTCTCTCGACTAGTATCTTTTCTTCACAAAAACATTCATTTATCTTCGATAAAAAAAGTGCCCCTTGAATTTTACAATTTCCCATAAGCACCCCTTCAATTTTCATCTATTTCCTTAACCGCCCCCCCCCCCATTTCCACTCTGTTTTCATAAGTGCCCCTGTTGAATAAGCGTCCCGTTTGAATAAGCGCACCCTCAAAAATAGACTTGCCACAAGTCTCTTATTTGTTATTATTTTTCTCATTCTGGACAGCGCCACCAACGAGAAAGTTAATTTAGAGATAGACGGAATAAGCGACTTGTAAAACACTGAAATCAGGCACCAGAATGCCAAAAGAATGACGTAATCTTACATTCCGTATTTGGATAAATGGGCGGACCGAAATAAACAATTTCACCCAATCAAATGTTTATATTTTTGGAGCCACGAAACTGAGTCACTCGCGTCGACTAGTTAGGCATGACTAAATTTAAATAGTCCTCCCTAATAAAACGGGCCTAAAATATTTAGAATAGACCCAAGTAAGATTAATGTCTGTCTCACTAATTTTGGCAATGGCAAAAACAATTAAGCTTAGACTAGATGGCATACCATACAAATACAACAAAACTTTCCAGGAAGATGGCTCAGGCCTCGTCTGGATGGAGTCAGGATTAGTAGGCCTAGCCTAGACTAGTAGTAGAGGCTTGATACACATCTAGATGTGTATAAGAGACAGTTTCCACTCTGTTTTCATAAGTGCCCCTGTTGAATAAGCGTCCCGTTTGAATAAGCGCACCCTCAAAAATAGACTTGCCACAAGTCTCTTATTTGTTATTATTTTTCTCATTCTGGACAGCGCCACCAACGAGAAAGTTAATTTAGAGATAGATGGAATAATTCGAAAAAAAAGAAATCGAGTATGGGACGCCAATTAAATTAGGTATGGCGCGCACTAAGTGCAATAAAAAGTGAGTAACCTAAAATTAGGGCCTGGAACCCAGGCTACCTCAAAAAGAGCCAAAAATATTTTTAACACCCGTGCGCTTATTCGCGCGAGTACGGTATGGTTTTTTCGTCGCAATACGACGTACTGTACTTTAACTTGCATTTATCACTTAGTCTCTTATGGAGGATTAGTTGCTGGGGAGTAGTAAAGTGAGGGATAATACCATTGCAAATTACTTAAGGCGATAAGAGGTGTTCTTAACTAATAAATGTAGAACTACGTTTTTTATTCTGAAAAATTTCAGTGGTGGAATGGATGAAATTTTCATTTTCTAAGACGTCTAAATTTAGATACAAAACTTCGCTTCATCGTACCACATGCTACTTATACTACTCAGTAGAAGATATAAGCATCTAGAAATTGACATTATGATTGGATGTTATGGAGTGTGCGTATCCTCAATTCCGTATAACGGGCTGACCATTGAGTAAACATCGATAGTCGATGTAAAACAAATCAAAGCTGTAGCGTGACAGTACCGTATGATAATTATTAATGCCTAAACATTACTATAATATTCACGTTCTCTTTGAAAAATAAGATTTTCGTTCTATTTAATCACACTCTGTTACCATGGATACTATGAATTAGTTTGCTCGGCGTGGATTAATTGATGAATTTCTTGGCAAAATGTGTGGTGTCGCAATGATTTTAACACCTAATGAAATTACACTTCAACCAGTCTTCTGTCTAGAAGTCGATTCATTTTCATTTCTGTGAGAGACCTCTTCAATAAATAGAATTTAGGCATACGAGTAAATTTCGTTTGGGAGTGATCACATTATTATGTTGATTATGTTATCCTAATGCATGATTAACGATGATAGCAAAAATTGGTGGTTCGATGTTGTATATAGAAGCGGAGTGGAGTTGAATAGCCTGGTGGTTTAATCCGGGAGATAAATCCAACTCCGGTCTCTGTAAGCGGTAGATGACTCGACTCTGTCTAATGATTGTTGGTGGCAGTCTGAAAGGATCATAAACTTTACCGTGCATCGTCGCGTTGCGTACTCCACCGAATCGCGTCGGGCGCGGTGGGTGCCCGGCTTAAGATTCTTGAATTCCAATCCAAGGTGACAATAATTGTCTCGGTAACAGGATTTTTTTTTACGACTAAAATCAAATCCATCTCGAGATTAATGAGAATTATAGAGCATGTTTGTTTGTTTGTTTGTTTTTGGTTTTTTTTGGTGAAATATTGCCACTTTAAAGAGTTATTCAATTCGCCATTTGCATTATTATTGACCTTGAGCCTAACAATTGAAATACCGGTCAATGTTTTGTAGGTAATCAAAAGTTTATACATTCAATTAATATATGTTATTGTTGTGTTATTCTTAAATGAGAAAGGGGATTATCGGATGATTTTCTGTTTGATGCTGAAAGCTACTGTACATGTTTAGAGCAATGACTTAGTGTTTTTAACTTTTAAGTGATTTTTTTGTGTAATTTTAATGAATTTCAACATTTATTACGTATAACTTTATAATAAATACTTATTTTCATATAGTGCCATAATTCTAAAAATTATATAATATTTTAACTGTTGATTTTTATTTTTACTGCTAGGTTTGATGGACAAGGTTTTATTCTTATTCATTGTATTCATTTTGTAAACTGTTTTATTACATTTTGTGCTTTTTAAACTGTCTACAAGGACCCCCATGGAAATAATTTTTAATTATTTGTAACTAGGATAATCCTGTCAGTATTTTGTACAATTTTCTTTTTTATGTGTTATGACTCTTAAGTATAAATAAATTCAATCAACCAATCTGATACTTTCATCGTCAACACATTCTGTTATTTTGGACAATAAAGATTGATTTGATTTTTTTGAAGAAAACTGTTGTAAGCCCGTATGATTATAGACATGATGTGAATTAATCATGACCATATTATTTAGGCATGTCATATTTTGTCAAATTAAAGTTAATAATCGGGACAGGCCTTTAGGCTAGCCTATGTCAACGTATTTTATTGGTTCTCAAGATGAGAGCTCAGAAGAGTAGAGTCCAGATTCAAGATAATTTTTATTGTCTGAAATTGCATTCCACTGTCAGTTTTGCAAGTGTTAACAACATATACAGTAATAAATAAACGATAACAAGGATATAAAACTATTAGTATTAAAGAAATTTAATTCATAAGATAAACAATATTACACAAAACTTAATTAAATGAGGTCAAAATTGCACTTAAAACCAGAATTATCTCTTAACATTATCATTATGAAGGTGGATGGAGTTGGGAACGGCAACGTCTGGTGAGTGGTACATTAAACGGAAGCCTAGAGTTAAATATACTGTAAATTTGTGTCTTTCATTATAGTCTGGAGTTTAGCTAATGTGTATTTGTCATATATATTATCTAAATGTACAATATCTTTATTAATATTTTCTTTGCAGTCTTTCGGATCGAGTCCGATTTCTTCAATGTTTTGTTAGGCAATTATATGTACAGACAGTAAGTTAAAACACTGTTTTATTGCTTTATAAAACAAGATAAGAATGGTATTGTCTACAGTATGCTTCTTAAGTTTTCTTAGAAAATACAACTTTGCTTAGTTTCCTTACCAGGCACTGTTGTTTCAACAACAGTGCCTGGTATATATCATAAGCACTGTTTGCTTTGCAAAAATCAGAGATCATTTCTTTAGTTGTTAGCGTTCAATATAAGATTATTAAGCTGGCACCATTCAGGAAATATTTTAACTTCATCAAAATAATAGAGTTTCATCGTTATCAATAAATCCACTAATTGCAGTATTATCTGCGTATTTTACAATTTTTCAGTGAGGATCCAAGATCTTAAAACTACTTAAAAAAATATAAAAAGAAACAGGTACGGAGAAAAAACACATCCTTACGGAACACCAATACTAAGCTACTAACTGTTGACAATATATTATTACATTTAACTCACTGTGGTCAAGAAATTAAATACATGACAAAATTCGAGTATATGTATGGAACAATAGTGTTGAAAATCTTTAAAAACTGACCTTACAAAAGCTCTTGGTTTTGCAGATGTTTATACACATTATTTAGAAATACAAAAGGCATCAGTTCCTCTGTTATTACAGTATGCAAATTAATTATTATAGCACATTCTTGAGGATCCCAGTGGCCATGCCGCTTGGCTAATTTTTGATGTTCAAACATAAATGTTTTAAAAACATTTTATTATGTCAGAAGCCATTCAAGGATTTTAAATTTTAGGTATAGGTTTAACATCCAACGTTTAATATATGCTCATATTGCTAGTGCCAAAAAAAATATACGTTATACAATTAAGCATAATATCGGCCTTACTAATAATTTTTATTTGCATCAACATCACAATTATTATCATAACTGAATATATAGCAAATAACAGTTAATTTATCACAAGAAATTATTTCAGCACTTGTCATTGCAATTGTTATACTTTTAAATTTATAATTATGTGTCTTTATTTTATAAGTTGTAACTTTTATTGATCAATAGTATTTTTACAACACAATACAGTAATAAAATGATAGGACACATTGAATTGATGTTAATGAAGGAGGTTATATGTATTGCCCATTCCTCTCTCATTTAGGCGGGAAATCTACTTTTTTTAACCAAGCTAATACTAACTCTACACCTTAAACTACGACCTATCTATCAAGCTAACCTGACTAACTACAACTATCTATAGTCTGAATTACGATAGATATGAGAGAGGGTGGACTAGGTTAGGGCGAAATGAAATGATGAAAGTGATATCAAACCGTAATGTACTAAACAAACATCAACTACATGTAGGATGACAAATATACAAAACAACAACAACAAAGTAATTGTATTGATGAATACTGTATTCGTAATTATTATTTTAAAAATGTAGGCTTTTATTTTTTATATATTATTTTTTTATATTATTGTTATTTTTATATTATTATTATTATTAAATTTTATTATATAGCATATATTTAATATTACCAACTGCAATGACAAATAGTCTTAACCATAATATCTAATTGTACGTTATTTGTTCTTTAACATTTGCAAAAACACTCGGCATCTCTAAATTAAATCGACCAGATTGGCTCATTCCATCTGAACGGATGTTATTCTGCTGATAAACCAGACAAAATTTGCTTCCTGGGTCAGTGTTGGTATTAGCTTGATCACAGCTCCGAATTCCTGCGAAAATATAGTAACATATTCAGATCGTTATTTGGAAAAGAATGATTTATGTTAAACATGATTTGTGTTCATTAGGATGAAAAACACCCATGTAGATCTAATAACCCAATAATTTCAAGAAACATAGAAACGAACCCTTAGTAGAATCAACATTCAACCCACCAATGTCCACCAGTAGATTCCTTTTAAGTCGATCGCATACAGTTTCAGTATGTTGAAATCGGCGACAGTTCACAAGAACTGAAGGCCTTGCATATCAACCTCTTCTGTTGCACTGTGTTTACAAATATGTACTGCGTAAACCTGATGAAAACAATTGACATTTGCATAAAGGGTGCCTGCTCCGCCTCCCACACCCTCAAGACAAACAAATCCTAGTGAATTTTGATATCATTTAGACTGACATGGCTCCTGGACCACCGAATTGGTAATAGTTTTCAACAAACTCACTCGTCCCCCTCTTAACTCAGGTAAAATGTAATGCCAGGTTCCCAGTTACCGAATTTCATCTACACAGTAGTCCCATTAAATACGTGAACCAATAGTGTATCCATAGGTTGATTTCACATCATTTCACAAGCCCCAGGCATTCAAACTTACCTTTGCAATCTGGTATTTCATCGTCACCAAGATCATTATATCGCCATCAATATAAGATCATATTCGTTATGATTATCATTGTCCTCGATATTCAACATCAAAAGAAACGCGTTGAACAATTTAGTCTGAAAATCGCATTCATTACTATTATTATTATTATTTCTTTTCTGAAATGAAAACAAAATTGTATGTTGTAAAATGTATAGGCCTATGCATAGCCCAATAGCCCTATTGTCATTTTACAATTCAAACAAGCTCAACTTTCAAACAAGCTCAACTTTCAAAGCTACTTCAATGCTTTTCATAGACAGATAAATTTTACTTTTGAATCATTTGAAAACAGTGACACAGTACACTTTCTGGATTTACAATTTAACAACAGTGTAGGAAGCATGAGTATATATCGTAAAAATACACATACAGGTCAATATGTCCATTATGATAGCTTTGCTCCATGGAACCATAAGACCTCCTGGATTCGTAGTTTAGTTTAGCCCACAGATTGTGTACTCCTGATAAACTTCAAACAGAGCTTAGTAACATCAGGAAGTTTATGTCTTGGAATGGGTACCCTTTAAAAGTCGTTAATAATGTACTTAAGAAATTAAATGAACCTAAATGTATACATAGGCCTACTGATGATAGCTTGATTAAGATTTGGGTTAGATTGCCTTATCTAGGAAAACCAGGTGAGTTCATTTTACGTAGATGTTTAAATAAC